GCAGGCCAGGCAGCATCAGAGGAGCAGGAAAGCAGACGTTTCAGGTCGGGTTTTGAAGTAGGGTCCCGACGTGAAACATCAGCTTTCCTGCTCCTCGGATGCTGCCTGGCCTGCTGTGTTCCTCCAGCTCCACACTGAGTAATCTCGTAGCCTTTATTGCAAATCCCAGTTAAGAGTCAGCCACATTGCTGGATGGTCTGGAGTTACATGTAGGTCAGAGAGGGTAAAGAGAGCAGATTTCTTTCCCTAAAGGCCATTGAACCAGATCTCTGTCTGACAATTGACAGTGGTTACATGTGTTAAACTAACTTTTTAATTCTAGATTTTTATTTAATTCAAATTTCACTATTTGATATATTGGGATTCACACCCATGTCCCTAGAACATTAACCTGGGGTTCTGGATTACTAGTCCAGTGACATTATCACGACACCAGCACCTTCCATATGTCGTTTTTTTAATGCCAGCTTTTTGTTTTTAAAACTCCATTGTTTAAAGGCACCATTTAACACATTTGGGACACTTTTGAACGAGAGACTTCCTCTTGAAATATAAGAGCAATACTATAGGCTTTGCTTCCTGTTTTTCCTGTACAACAGCCCTTCGCCCACCATTGGGTTAGTAACAGTGGCTGGTCGAATCCCTGAAGTGGACATTAATTGACCACTCAAAATCCTCAATTGACAGCAGGGCAGGAATGCTGCCCCTCCTCCTGCCTACCTCTCCTCCACACACGCACAAATATCTGATTAAAATCTCCCTTGACTTGATGCGGGCTAGATCCAAAATTCTACCCATCATGTTTTAGGGTATACAGTATGACATGCAGGTTACTAGTGAACAACTCACTTTCTGCCATGTCTTACTTAAATAAGCTAAACCTACCATGTCAACATTTTCCCAAAGCCTGAATGAATTGCAAGATCCAAAACATGGGCTGAATCTTAACAGAAAACAGCCGAGTGTCATTTTGGTCAAGTTTCATGGAAGGTTTCTGTCCGTGAGACAGTGACATTTCTTGCATTGTTATCCCAAACACACCTCAGTAACGAGGGATCATGCCTCTATGTTGTCCCTCCTGCCTGATGCTAGCCAATTCTCCCACTCGCTGTAAGCAGAGGTACTTGCTATTGTTGAGACATTCTGGATGTCTGATGCCAGTAGCTTTTGTAAAATGTGGTGCTGGGATGCTGAAGCTGCTCTGAAATGGTTCTTGATACCTGGACGTGGTAGATAAGGGGAATTGGGCATACTGCTTTGTGGACAGGGACTTTGAGTTTCTGGTGAATGGGCTGGTGCAGAAGGTAGTCACCCTCTTTCTCCAGGACCAGCAGACAACATCTCCCAGACTAGACCAAGGTTGCTGTCAGTGGCCAGTGCAGTCTCCGCAGGAATATTCTACAATAGTGCAGGAAGGTTAATGAGCTTCTACACTCTGCTAGGGTAAGAGGTACCTCACACTCATTCAATCTCTGCTGCTGCACTCACCTCCCACTAAGGCCCATGGTCTATGACTGGTGTATTGCATGCAACATCCTCCCTCACACTCTCACCCACCCAATCCCCCCAGACTAATTATTCTGCATAGCATCTGCACCTCCTACTCTCTCACCTGGGAGACCTCACCACCTTTCCTCCACCTATACAAGCACTAACAGCCAACCACTTTCAGCTCACTCAATCGCTCTCTATCTCATTCCAGGAGAAAGCTGCCTACAGTACTCCTGAAAGAGCCAAGATGGGTGCTGGGTACCTGACAGTAGGTTTCAGCTAAGAGGCGAGGTTCCTGTTCATGACCCACAGCCTTGAGCTAATACTGGAGGCTACCTTGACTAATGGTACAGGAACTTCCTGATTGATGGCAGCACACCCCCCTCCCCACGAGTGCTGACTACTCCCCTCTGGCTTTGTGACAATAGCTGTTTTGTTTGTGCACATGCAGTGTCCGCCAAATGGGCTGATGGTGCATGTTATCAGTATGACATTTAGATTGGATGGTGCTATGTTGCAAGCTGACCACTCCATTGACTGAGGACAGCTGACAACCATGATAAACTGCTAGGCTTTCTGTCTGTGCTGAACAGCAAGACAAGTTAGAAATATTGCACTCCTTTAACTTCCGGCTGAAGGGATAAAGCTCAAAAAGCAAGACAAGGCAGGGCATGAATGCTGTCCACCTCCTGGTAGATGCAGTGAGTGGGCACTAATAGAGTGAATGTACAGTCCTGAGATGCTCCCTGGTCTATGGGAGAGCTGGGTTCCTGCTCTTGCACAGTGTCCTTGCAAAAGCATTGCAATGAACAGTATAGGTCAATGTTCCCTCTAAGCTGCGCAGCTAACTGTGAGCCACCCCTCCACTGCGCACAGCAATTGGCATTGGCATGCCAGTCATGGAAGTGACTTCAGGAAGACTCTAGTGTGCACAGACCTCAAAGACCTGGGCAGCCAGAAAGAAAATTCCAGCGACTGCTGGTGCCACTGTGTTCCAAAATGCAGCATATTAAGTGAGGGAGCATACTTAAGTGGATTAGACATGTGCCAAGATGATGTGGTAAGGCTGGTACATATTGGACAGAAACATCTGTGCCTGCTGCCCATGGAGTATGCCCTGAGATGTTGGTGCCAGGGGTCTGAGATGGATATCTGGAGGAGAAAGTGGCAAACTGGAGTTACCAAGTACCCCTTCTGATTTTGATGTTAGGAATTCTCAGCATCTTTCTGGCAGGAGAGAGAATAGGAAACCTACAATATTGATAAGGTGAGATCAGGTAGTATTGAAGCTGATAGAGAGCAATAAACACCGTTAATACAGCTCTCACTGTTCACTAGTAAGAATCTTGTCTTGGAACCTTGGCGCTGATAGGAATCAACAGGTAATACTGATTTCATATCAGGCCCTGCCACCTCTGCAAGCTCCTGATCATTAGATATGCGTACCGGAAGCTCTTTGCCAGGCTAATGTTGGAAATATGTGCACGCACCTCACACCCCATTTCAAACAATAAGTATCTACTTGGACTGAATAAAGGACTGCTCCATGGATCAAATTAGCTTCTTTTCATGTCTGCAGTATATTTGGTAATCCTGTTAGATAATCAAAGAGGTTCTGAATAAACAAATTCTATCAAATTACTTAAAATAGCAGCTACTGAGTTTCTGCTATCTCTGACTAATCTTTTCAATTCTCATCTATTACATTACCCCAAGTTATTATACATCAACTTAAAACATTGCACTTGTGACACACATACAGAGTATTGGACAGCTGAGAGTAGTTTGAAAGCAATTACGTGGACTGGTTCAGGTAATACCGTGAACTGAACAATAGTGCAATTTAAGTAGCTCATTATTGCCAGCCACTCTTCAAATGAGATCTTTGCCTTAAAATCACAGGTGAATGCCTATTGCATAAATGGGGAGATTTCATTCTGGTTTGTTGTGTCTTTGAGGTGAGTGTGACTGAACGGTGGGAGGTGGTCTGTCATAGTGAACTTGCATGTCATCCACCCAATTGTGATCAAAGCACATGATGTTAATTCTGTTTTTCAGCATCCACTTGCTGAGTGCTTCCCAGTGGATTTCATTTCAGATTTTCAGCAACTGCAGTATATGCTTTCGGCCCTATGTGGACCGTGATGAATGTTAACCCCAATATTAACTCGAGGGGTAGGAGAAAGTAGAGTGCTTTTTTTGTGATCAGGAAACCCAGAAGAACAGTTATTTTTGGAGATGTGGCAAATTTAACCACAGGATCTGATGAATATTTTACACCTTTATTTTCCAGTGACGGCCAGCCAGATTGAGAAACTAGTTGGCTGGCTTGCAGAAAGTCCTTTAGCATCACATCACAGCCAGGGAGCAAAGAGGATAAAAATAGGATTTATACTGGCAACTGTGGATTGTTCAGAATTGTACACACTGGTAGAGTCTCCAATGCAAATCAGGGGCCTAGAAAAACATTAGGGAATGGAGATATTGGAGAATCAGAAACACTGGGGAGGTTAAGGGGGCACATTAGCAGTTCGGAAACATTGAGGGGGTGGGTTGAAGATACCAGGAGCTTTGGATCGATGAGAAAGTTTGAGACATCATTGTCAAATGGATGGGGTGTGATGGCTGTTCATTGGTAGGGCAGTGACATGTTTGAGATTGGAAACTCAAATTGTGGGGTGGAGGGTGAATAGAGTTGAGGCCCTCATTTAGTGGTTAGAAAAATTAAATGTCAGAATCAAACTCTTCTGGGGAAGGCCGGAGAGGTCAGAAGGCTGGAAGACAAGTGCATGAGATGTACTGGGGATCAGAAGGTGGAGAGAAATTGAAGGGATGGTCTAGGGGGGTGGGATTGTAGAAATGTGTCAATTAGAATCTGGCAGAGGTCGATTATATAGAATTATTGAGAGGGGAGGATGTAGCTTCACTGGATCCAGTGAATAAAATGAAAGAACACTTAACTCTTGGATCCAGATGACTTTGCCTCTTTAAGCTGCTGTGTTTCCCAGGTCCCAGCGAACCTGGCCAGCCAAGGTGGAAGTTCAAACAGATTAAATCTTAGACATGCAGCCTCATTGTAATATCTAATTAAGCAACCCACCTGCCTGGGCATAAAGCTTCCCACTCTGTCTCACCTCCAATGACATTGGGGTGGGCTGGGGTGGAGTCTGCCTTTGGGATTGGAGATTTTTCACAGCTGTATACCCATCCCAACCAAACCAAGTCCATCTCTTTTAGCGCAGGGGGGACAATTAAATTTTCCACAAGCTTGTTCAGTGAACAATTAAACAATGTGACAAAACCAGAAATACTATAAATGCAAAAAGAGGCCTGTCAGCACATTTTGTAGGGTAAGCCAGTTCTAAGCAAACAAATTTATAACTGCATAGCCAAACAGGGCTGCCACAGAGTGGGTAAAGGAGATGGCAGCTCACTACTTTTAGTGCAGGCAGGACAGCCTGTAAATGGGCAACTAGATTTAACATTGGGTAGAATTACTAAGTGTTGATCACTGGGGTGTGGAGGTGAGATGCAGGCTTCCAATCTGCTGTGACTCAAGAAGCTGTTGATTTCCTCTTGAACAATGCAAACAGGAGTTGTGAACTCATTCACTAAGCCAGCCTAATTGTTTTAATTAGAAAAGCAAATGCAATGCAGCACTTGTGTAGTGGAATGGTTCTGAAGCTGTGAGATTGAGGTCATTACAGTTAGGTGATTAACTGTTTGCATTGCCATGCTGTTGAGATAAATAATAGTTGTTCTCTCTCCTCTTGATAACATAATTTGGGGATTAGAACAATCTAGAGATAAAATGTACCAGATGTTTCAGTTTCAACACAGGAGTCTATTTTGTGTGCACAAGTGTTTTCTCTGCTTAGGAAAGGCAAGGATTATAAAATGTTGGTTAAAGTAGTTTACAAACACACCTACAGTAGTTGTAGATCTTTTTAAATCAACCTGTTCAGATATGTTATGATACAACTCTGGACTTGGCTCAGAGGTAGAAACATGACCACTGCAGCACCAGAGTCCATGTGTTATTTTTAAACAACTTGCTTTGATAGGCTAGATAGGGGAATTGGGGTTTGAACTTGCAGCTTCTGGCCCAGATGTAGGCATACTACCACTAGCTTGTAAGACCACCCTTCCCATGGTTAAATGGGTTTGGGGGAGGAGAGGACAATTGATGGGGCATGGTGGTTATTAGTGTTCAGGTCTGAGGAAGTCAGGCCAGGAAGGAGAGGATGCCTGATCTGGCACAGTCAGATTAGGCCTTGGTTGTGGAATCAGGACGGGTTGGCAGGACAGGGGAAGTTTCTGGTGAAGGGTGCAGCTGTCTGCAATCTGGGGGTGTAAGATATGGTGGATGTATAGTTGAGAGGGTGGGTGTCAGTGTTGAATGGAGGCAGTGGGGAGGTGGGTTAGTTGGATAATAATGTTTTAAAATCCTCTAGCATATTTGGGTTATTAAAAGAATTCAAAGGGTTCAAATTCACTTGAGCTTAATAGACACTTGGAGGATTTCGGAAACAGGGAAAATGCCCCTTTTGAAAGAAAAGTTCTGATCGGTTACCACAGTCAGTTACATCAGGAATTCCTCTTGGTCCCAGTACCCAACTCCAATTTACTCTACTCCAAGGGCACTGGCCATTGGAATATCTCAGCCATCATCTTTTATCAGACACAAGAAAAAATTTTAGATCCTGTGCATATGACTGAGGCCAGGAGAAGCAGATGCCTTGCTTACCATACTTTTCAGAGGAACTCACATCACAAAATAAAATAGAGTAATTAAAAAGAAGTTCAGTCAATGTTTAGCATGTGTTGAAACATACATTTACTAGTCAAGCAACAACTTCACATTCAGTGGCATTATCATCACTGAATTCCCCACTATCAAATACCCAAGGATTACCATTGACCAGAAATTGAACTGTTATAAAGCAGAGGTCAACTCCCCTCTGAATAACTAAAACTGAAACACCTAGAGAAGCTTGCCTCACCTCCTAATCTGTTAAAGGAAGTGTGGAAAGTGGTATAACCTGCCTTTCACAACCCCCACTCTGTTATAAAGGGGAGGTAAAATGAAAAGAACTCCTCACAGTCACTCTATAATCAACAAGTAACAATTTATTTGTGTAACTAACAGTGAACAAATTAGCACAACTACTAACAAACAAAACAATTCCCTCTTAACCACTAACTATTCCCAAATAAAACAAAATTCTAATGGTCCGCTAACAAGATCCATTTATAGAATCAAATTAATAAAAAAAACATGAAACAGTCTCTCAAAATTACAGCCAGGATACATCTTCCAGAACGTTCAGAGCCTTCTTTAATGGTAAAAAGTTGCAGCATGCTGCTATGCAGAGGGACCTGGATGTCCTTGTGCATGAATCACAGAAGGTAGGTCTGCAGGTACAACAAGTAATTAGGAAGGCAAATGGAATTTTGTCCTTCATTGCTGAAGGGATTGAAATAAAAAGCAGAGAGGTTATGTTGCAGCTGTAAAAGCTGCTGGTGAAGCCACACCTGGAGTACTGTGTGCAGTTTTGGTCTCCTTACTTGAGGAAAGGATGTACTGGCACTGGAGGGGGTGTAAAGGAGGTTCACTAGGTTGATTCCGGAGTTGAGGGGGTTGGCTTATGAGGAGAGACTGAGTAGATTGTGATTATATTCATTGGAATTCAGAAGATTGAGGGGGGATCTTATAGAAACATATAAAATTATGAAGGGAATAGATAAGATAGAAGTAGAGAGGATGTTTCCACTGGCAGGTGAAGCTAGGACAAGAGGGCATAGCCTCAAGATTAGAGGGAGCAGATTTAGGACTGAACTGAGAAGGAATTTCTTCACCCAGAGCGTTGTTAATCTGTGGAATTCCTTGCCCAGTGAAGTAGTTGACACTACTTCAGTAAACGCTTTTATAAAAAAGGCAGATTTTTTTTGAACAATAAAGGAATTAAGGGATATGGTGAGAACGCGGGTAAGTGGATCTGAGTCCACGAAAGGATCAGCCATAATCTTATTGAATGGCGGAGCAGGATCAAAGGGCCAGACGGCCTACTCCTGCTCCTAGTTCTTGTGTTCTTGTGTTCTCTGCTGTTCTTCAGTCAGGAACACCTTTCTCCATCAAATTTTTGTTCGTGAATATTAGCTAAGAATGCCTTTTTACTGTTAGTCAGATAATGGTTTCCTTGAGAGCTTAGAGAATTCTGTGAGAGCCAACTTCAATAACATCTTCACAACGATTAGACTAGCCATATAAATACAATGGTTACAAGAGCAGATCAGAGGCTAGGAATACTGCAGTAAGAAACTCACTTCCTGACTCCTCAAAGACTGTTCACCATCTACAAAGCACATGTCAGGAGTTCAATGGAATACTCGCCACTTGCCTGAATGAATGCCTATCCAAAAACAGATAAACTCAGTTGAACACCCCACAAAGCCCTTCGAATAACAAATATGGTCAAGACAGATTCCAAAGATTTCTCAGCTATCCTGGACAACAGTTACACTGTGGACCACCAAATACTATTTAACATTTATCTCCCTTACAAGGATTTCCAATTATTCATTTTTGAAACCTAGTTTTGGATCTCCCTCAAAAGCCATTCCATCACTGGCTGCCTCAATGATTGCTCATATTTTGGTAGTTCTCTTTGTTTTCCTGGGAATGTTGTCCCCTGAATTCTTGAGACTGCACTCTAGCACCAAGCCATGGGTACAATTACAGATTTTCCACAGACTTCACTAAACTTCCACTGTCCTTGAGTTTCACTAACCTCCAATCTTTCTTTTCTGCACCAAGGAATTGTTGCTTGTGTGTTTCCTTCACCTCCACTCTCTTCTTCAGCCACAATTAATTATCAATGACTCCCAGGCTTATATCAAAGCTATCCACTGCTCTGGGTAGTTCCCAGGGATTTTCCTTGATATTTTTCTAATCAGC